ATCTAATACAGCATGATAAGCTGAGTAATTATATTTTCATACAAATCCTTTTTTAACGAAAAACGGCAGCATAAGTCGTTGCACGCAACTTGAACTAGATAACTGTGATGATACATCTAACATTTTTTTGTTGTAAGTGAAATCCCTTTACGTTACACAATATTTATTAAAAATTTTACAGAGGAACGTTGCTTTGAATTTTTGTTCATCAATTAAATCATAACTTAATTTTAAACAAAAAATGTATACAAACTAATTATTTTTATTATTATGATTCTTTTTCATTGTATTGATCTTATCGTTTAAATATTAAAAGTAATTTCATTTCATGTTTCCTTAATTTGTTTTTCATTTTACCAATAATGGAGCAGCTAATCAAAAGGAAGTGGTTATCGATAAAGACTACGAAAATATTAAAAAAGTTTTACTACAAAGTTTAAAATTAAATAAATATGACGATGAAACATTTAAGAAAAATGAAATATATTTCGTTCACAAAAATTTGTGGGAAAAAGTACGTAAAACACATCTATCATCTTCTCATTTTTTCTATGTTTGTACATTTAATCAAACAAAAGACAAGGAATTATTCTTAAAAAAAACATTACGCATTCATAATAAAACAACTGATACCAAAGATAATATCCCGTAAGTAATAATAAGTATAATAAATAATATTAAAAAAATTATTTTCCCATATTATTTTTTTAATACTTTAGTTTCAAGCGTTTTTAATAAGACACTAATATCCTGTTTTTTGCTTTTGATGATATATATATATATATTATATAGGTTTGCTGTGCAATATGGCACAGTTAATGAGCCCAACGCAATAGAACTTTTTGAAAAGAAAATGAACACAAAGATTAAACCATGTGGTCTATTTTTTGATGGAAACATTAACTATTTAACAGCAAAACCAGATGGTTTAATTGGGAAAGATGGTATTATTGAAATAAAATGTCCAGTTAAGGCCCAATATATGACTCCCGAAAAAGCTATAAAAGATAAAGTGATAAAATATGTGCATT